CCCCAAAACCCCAAAACCCCAAAACCCCTCATGGAATATCCTAATTGACCATAATGGGGGTTACAAATACTTTTAATCGGCTATTTGATACAGTTCTGTTCTATTCGCCGGAAAAGTTAATTTCTTCTTCTGGGTTTTAGCAATTGTTGACCTGTTTAGCAGGTTAGCAGGAAAATTAGAGGCTAGAGTATCCATGCATGTAGTTTGGGCAATGCCAAGTATAGGAAATAACTAAGAAATTAACTTTGGTGAATTAATAAGCTATAGTAGCTTACTTCATTGATGGCAAATTATTCCTTTGTTGATCCACCTCATACATCTGGGCAAGAACTGGACTCTTCCAGTTGTTCATAATCTTGGAGCTATGTTTTCTTAGGCTTGTATAAACCAGGCCTTTAGTGAATTAAAATCTTCAACGAATTGGTGGAAAGAATCCTCGATTACTCCTTACTTCTCTGATCCCTTTATCTTGTCTTACATTCGAATTGTTTCTTAGTTTATTGTTCAAATTACTTTTTGGTGACTGATTTAGCATACTCAAGGTCCTTTCTCATTAGGTATTCTACCTTAGCCTCAAGGGTCTTGATTCTGAAGAGAATACTTAAACAGTCTCTTTCTTCCTAGAAGTTTCTAAGGATAGCATTGAAACTTGAAGACCTATTTTTTACTATAAACTTGAGGCTCTTTCTTGGTCATTCTCTCCTTTACCTCCGTCTTTAGGTGGTTGATCTTGTAGGTTTGTCAAATCTTCTTTCTTACAAATTTTGGCTGGTCCATCTTTGTTGGAAACGAAGTAACGATAGGGGTAGTCGGGTGATCCAATTTCTTGATTTTTGTTCAGAGAAGTTCCATTTTTATGCTGAAGATCTTCAGGAATGCTTTCTAATTGTTTATTCTGGTCTTTCTCATCTTCTTTAGTGTCTTTGAATTAAATAGAATTTTGAACAGTAGTAGCCTTAAGGCTTTGTAGTTCTTGCTCAGTCTGATCTAATCTGCCCGTATGCTTTTTGAGTTTTCGAACAAAGGATCTTTTGAAGAAATAGCTGTCTCCTATCCCAATTACAAAGGCAAATATAACTTCAAAGATTTCAAAGATCCCTCCAATGATACCAATAAGTTCTATCAAAGTGAATGTTTTTCTGTGGTACTTGTATATAAGATCAGAAGAGGCCGACTCTTCTTTACTGAACATAAAGTCGCTTTATTATCTTAGGTCATTGAATTCTCCTAAAAACAAGTCTAACTCTGAACCCCAGAACCCTGTTCTAAGTCGACATTAAAAACTGGTCAGCCATCTAAGCCTACCTAAGCCACTAGGGATCACCCCTTCAAGCCAATACCCCAAACGCTAATTTAACAGTTTCTAAATTCCTGTGGAAATGCCTCTAACGCTCTAAAATATTTTTTGGAAAATTTAGTCTTCGAGTTAAACTCTTGGCCTCAGCTATTATGAGAATAAAGACTGAGGCTAGGCCTCCTCTGCTATTCTGGTAGAAATTTTAATTGAGGCATCTAATTTGGGTGTTTATAGGCAGATCAATCAAAGATAAGGCAACTAAGTTTGTGCTAGAAGATTTGGCACTAGATTTTTGTAAATTAATAATAGGGTTAAAACATCGTTGATATATCTGAGCTGAGCCTAATGGATGATAGATAAAGAAATCCTTTCAAATTTTTTCCTCGGATCAATAATGATAATAATCAGTTTGGAATATTTCTCGATGTCAAATCCTGTTAAATTTTATTGTCTCAGGGGTTGAAAATAATGGAAAGATTGAGTCTTCCAAGTTCACCTCTTGTCTCTCAATATAGTGAGTATCTCTATATTGTATATCAGGATGAAAATTCCATTGATCAATCAAATCCCTGTAATGTTTTATAGGTGCACCAATATCTCCTAGGTCTACATACTTATTTTTAAACGTCAGAGTAATTCCAAAATTTAGAGGAATCAGTCTTCTAATTTCTGGGTTTTTACAGTTAGAATCTCTGTACTTTATTAAAAAGGCGACTCTAAATAGGATTCCTCTATCTTCAGAGCTTTTTGATGTTTCTTTGCTTGTCCTCTACCTTTTAAATTATATCACCAAGCTTTTACTGTGCCTTGGTCCACTCTACCAAAAGTAATACTACATCTATCGGATTTGGCCAATTGAGTGATACCAGTACTATTATTCTCTACGAATTCCAAGACTCTCGGCTGAATGTATTTCCTTTGTCTCATATCTATGAACGGAGCCACATAAAGTATAAGCACAAATCCTAGTTCAGTGTCTTAAAATATATAACCGCAAAGCTATGGAGTTAGGCATAATCTGAAGAGCCGAGATTCACATTTTGGGCCAGAGAAGCTAACACTTTGGAATTTGGGGGTATAAGTCGGCAACATGGAGAGAATAGAAATAGTTAGTCACCCTTTAAAAGTCCTATACACTTATCACTATCCTTCACTTTGAATGATGTGGCTTTCTAATACCGGTTGGACCTCCCAACTATGTTTGATTAAAAGTTGCATATTTATCGAAACATTATGAATTACTTCTCCCTCTAAGCCTCAGACTTCTTAAGTTATCATAAACCCAGGTTTCCAAATAGGGATTTCTTCTGACTCGAAGTTGTCTTAAGGAAGCACATCCTGCATGGCTCCTCTTGGGAAGGGATCAGAGCTGGCCTAGCCTCAAAGATATCCAGGTTCTTTAGACTACCTTTGGTCTCTGCTTGTGCGAAGAAAAGTGGGAGCGGGCTATACATGCCTCAGATCGAATTTTGAAGTTTAGGTGTTGAGAAAGGCGGTGTAGTAGGAGCTACTAGGAAGGATAAGAAGGAAGTGATTTTTAGGGATGACGTTTTAAGGAAATTTCAACCAAAATATGCAAAATTGGGGTTTTGGGGTTTTGGGGTTTTGGGGTTTTGGGG